GGTGAAGCTTCTGGCTCTGCTGATTGAGACATGCTCGCCTCTGTGGCATCGCTGAAGAGCCATAGACCAATACAGCAAGGATGCACTTTTTGAGGAAAGTCAAACAGCCAAAACAGAGCTTCTAAAAGATGCAGTGCTTGCAAATTACCTGTGTCAAACATGGCAGAAGTCCTTGTCAGCAAGAGGACAGGACAAATACCTACATTTCTTCCTGAAACCCACCCAGAGTCCTTCTCTCTGCCAGACAGTGCCTACTCCAGGCTCTCCTTGTTTCTCTTCCCTACTTGAATTTAAGCAAACAAGCTCCGTCCAGACACTGTCTTTGGCTGCTACTCCAGAACAAGTCGTGGATAAAAAGCAATGCCTGGACCAACTGATGGGTGCTGACCTGCTCAGACAGCCACAGCCCTCTTCGCCCTCGCAATGGCATGGATACAAGGCATGGGCAGTCATCATAAAAATACTACCAAAGACTCTTCCATTTTTAGCACCTTGATTTTGCTTTGGCCTCTGGTTGTGTTGGACCCAAAGTGTACAGCCTGTGTCATTTCATGAGCTATAAGCTAGCACCTCTGTCTACCACATCAGCAACAACACGGGAACTCGGGCTTGGGGTTGATTTGTGGATGCACGGAGCAGGGCTGAGGACTGGGACAGGCTTTAACCATGCCCCTTCCCGACCCTGCCATGTCCACAGCTAGCACGGAGGAAGGGCTCCACCACCACTGACAAACATGCTTTCTCACCTTTATGGGCTCCTTTCAGAGCGCTGTAGAATGACATCATCACCAAAAGGAGTAAAAGTGCCCCAGACGGGTGGCTAACTCTCTGCAGGTACTACAAACCAGGAGTAGGAGGTAGCAGGTCCCACTGACATGTGAGAGCTTCCTCGCCTGCTGCTGCCACCGGGCTGGAGGTGCTGTGGCTCTGTGACCAGAGGGTGGATGTGCAATGGTGACAGCAGCAGCAAGAAGGGGCCAAGGAGGCTGGAAAGAGGGCAGACAGAAAGCCAAGGCGGCAGCAGGTCTGGTGGCTCTGAGAGGTGGGGATGAGGAGGCAGGGAAAGGCTGTAGCTCCATACAAGAAAGATTTTCACTTCTCTAGTGACTTCAGCACACTCAGGACCCAAAGTGGCCACAGAGCATCAACAACAGCCAGCCTAGCACGGACACTTATCCAGCCCTTATCCTCCTGGCACTGCAGCTCCTGCCATGGTGGAGGTAACACCTCGATGCTTGTGAGTGTCCAGTGGCAAAAACTAGGCTACACCAGCTGAGGAACAACAGGTCATGAGAGCCCCTAGCCAAATCTGCCCAGACGTGCTGGCCTAAGTTTTGTACCGAATGTTCTGAGCTTTAACACATGTTAGCATCCCTTCTTCCTAATAGCTTTCCCTTGTGTTTCTTCTCTTCCAGCACTGAATGTGTGATTCAGTCATGCCTTAACCTTTGTGTCTGATTCCTGATCTGCTGTTAAAATCTATGTTAATTCCTTAGAATCTCACAATTTTTTCCCCAAGCAAATTCTGAGCAGTTCTGGGATTCCTGTACCCGCAGACGCAGTAGGTAGCTTACGTGGTCTGCTCTCCAACAGCTCAGGCTGCATGAAAGGTCTAATTAACACCTCATCAAACTCAACTGTTGGTTGTGTCTGGAGAAATTCCCTCTTGCACCTGTGCATTCACAAGACACCATTTCTAGCCTCCCGCACAGCAGGCCCCAGCCATCGGAGTAATGCTCCACCACTGCAGAGCCCATCCTTACATCAGCAGTAGTGGTCCTCGTCCAGTCTCCAGGACTTGCCAGCCCAGAGTGACACTGATACGCTCTGTGGCTGCTCTGAGCCATTGCACGGTGCAGTGTAGTGCAAGAGCTCAGGAGCAATAACTCAGCAGTGAAGGGCGTGCAAAGCCCGTGCTGCTGCATTTCAGGCAGGGCTCTCCTCCCCTCACCATATTGTACCTCCATCATCAGAAAGTGCATAGGTTTCACCCAGCACAGCTCAGTGTCACCTGCCTAAGGACAGCCTTTGCAGTGGGACAGCATGCACACAGCCCTACATGCTGCAAACCTTCGGGTGCCTGATCTGCGCTCATCATCTAGCCTGTCTAGCAGGCCCCAGAGAAAGGTGGCACCCCAGGACGGCTTCAGTCCCACCCTGTCCTGGAGGACAGGCCCTAGGATTGGGTCAGAATGGCCCTGGAGGTGTCCATCTCCTACCATTGAGACAGACAGAGCCCAGTGCACAGCAGAGTGCAATGCCCAGTTCATGTCGACACTACCATTATTGCAGGACAAGGTTTAAACATAAAGAATAAGTTTAGCTTGGTTGCTTAAGATAACAGTTAAACAATAGACTACAGTGTTTGGAACACAGAGCATGCAACAGGAAAATGTAATTTTAGGTAATACTTCACAACAAGACTATTCTGAGTCTAACGAGACTATTCAGCACCTCAGGTAATTCTAGAGGCTTTCCCTGCAGAACATCTAACTCCAGCTTCTACTGCCGGAGATCACACTCCCTGGGCCTCTCTGAGTTCTCCTTTCCCACTTCAGCTCATTTCCACTGTTTGCCTGCCCCCCCCCGCCCCCAAATCCCCTTCCTTACTTCATGTAATAGGGCACTGCTTGCCTGGCAGACTAATCCACCCATCCTGACTTCTGCTCTGGGGTGTCTCTTCTCTCCCCTCCAGCCTTACTTAACACTTGAGTCATAATCTTCCACTTGACTTCCTATCTGGTTGACTTCTGCTGTTCATCACGTTTTTTAAAATAAGAGCAAAACTTTGAAGATTTCACATCATTAGGACTATTAACTGCACACACTTTATTTGCTCTGGAGCCTTCACCCTACTGCGAGTACTACGTAGACCACTCATGGTGGTCTAGCAAGGCAGACGGCAGGCTTGCCATTGAGAGCACCTTCCTAAATTCCTTCTCCTCTCTCCTGCTTGCTGTGTTGTGCTCATTCAGAGTCCCCAGAGGCATGTCCTGGCTGTGACAGCCCCAGGCACATGCTGAGCCACGTCCCGTTGACCAGTTCTGTGATGCTCCTGCAGAAGGCAGAGCTCTTGGTAGCACTATCCAAGAGTACTGAAGAGACCTCAGGGAGCTGCTGGGAATAAAGCTCACACTGTCAAGCAGCTTAGGCATTGGGGTTTATTTGTTTGTCCTTTTGTAACTCCATTTCCAAATACTGCAAATGAGCGTTTAGCCCTTTGTCTTTGTGTAATCAGACTTGTTCCTCCTCTTTACGCCCTGCCTGGTAATAATGGGGTCTTTATGTGGAAAGACAAGCAGCTCTTGTCTCACAGGACCCAGTGGGCTGTAAGGCCATGCAGGCACGTGCTGCTCACCATGAGCTGCAGACACCAGGGTTTAGAGTGCAGGACACAAGGTTTCTCCATGGGAGAGAGAAACCACTTTGAGTGCCTGTGGACCAATGTCACCCTGGCAGGTAGGGATGGCAGAAGAGAAACTGCATATAGCTTAGAGAGCAGGCATGCTCATTACAGCTCTTTCAGACGAATGTGGGGGTCTGGAGAGGCCCCCCCACCCCGTCACCAGGGCTGCTCAAACCCGAGCTCTTACCTTCCTTTCCTTTCATTTGAGATGGTGTTTCTTTCACCCTCTCCAGCAGATGGTATGCTACAGCCTCGCCCCCAGGGTTGCCGTCAGTCAAAGCGTGGCTCCAGCAATGCAGAGCTGCTGGACCACCCTGGCCGTGCGACTCAGCTCTTCCAACCCCTCTTCCCTGGGACCCGACTGCGGTGCACGAAGGGCAAACGGAGCAGTAGGACTTCCCTTTCTCTAAGAGCTTCTTGGCTCTCATCCCTGTTGTTTTTCTTACTCAGCCCGCTCCTCCCGG